CGCTATAACCGGCAGCAGCCCTTCTACTCTGCTCTAAAAGAAATACTGTGTTGAAGTTGAGCAAAACAGAGAGCTTCCCTGATTTCTACTCTTACCATCATATTAACTTAAAATTGGGTAGTTCATTTAGGGTGAGAATGACTTACATAAAATTATTAATAGGTATATTTAAGAGCTGGCTGATCTCCACCTCCTACCAAAAGCATCTAAGCACTGAAATTTCACCTCAGTGTATTACAGCAGAGCCCAGGTCACAGTCTCCTAGGCCACTAGGAATAAACATGCAATGTTTGGAAGATAAAGTGTCTGCTCAACAGGCAGTGCTGACAGCAAGCATGGAGCAACACTGACAGTAGTGAAAAATTAAGCATTTGTTCAGCTCTCACAGAGAACACAACAGAAAACCAGCCGAGTCTTTAAAGGAGGCACCAGCAACAGTCTCCCGTGGAAATGTCCCATAGCTCCAAATACCATTTTTGCCCATGACACTGAATTCCGAGGAGCAGCATTAACTCTAGCCCTTCGAAGGCACAGGGGCCTGTCCAGAAGAGGTGCCCCACACGTCAAGGGCCTCCAGTGGAGCGGGGCTCTCCATTGCCCCCTCCAGGTCACCAATAACCATGGAGCAGGACAGCCCCAGCATCTTGGAGCACAAACCATTAACCCAGCAYCCTTGACTGCCCGGCTGCCTTGCACCCACCCAGCCCTTCCAGTCCTGCCCTGGAGAGGGGAATTGGTGGGAATGTGGTGGGAGCCACCGGCAAAAGCACCGACAAGGCAAGGGAAACGGCAAGGGAAATGACACGAGCTGCCCTCTCGGATGCCCACGCACCTGGTCCTGTTTAATCACAGAGGGAAGCAGCTTAGCCAGAGCAGTTTACCCCAACAAACAGATGCTGATTGCTGCCGATCACTCCTCATTCATGCCTGAAAACATATTCCAAGACAACACATTCCAGGATTTTCCCAAGGACAAAAGCAAGGCCAACCAGCCTGTAGTTCTCCGGAATGACCTTTCAGCCTTTTTAAAAGCAAAAGGGGCATAAAAGCCTTTCTGCARTCGTCAGGAATCACGCAGTGATGCTCTCCCTGCAAAGAACTCCTCACCAATTTCAGCCCTCATGTTTTTGAGTCTGGAAGTCCTCAAGCACAGCCCTATTAAATTTCACCTGCTATCACATCTGCATCAGATTATTTGGCTTTCAATCTACTGATTAGAGTTCCTAAATTTTCATGCGGTTCTTTGCAGAAGATCAGTGCCCTAGATACCTGCTAAACATGAGTCTCAACTCGGGTCATTTCCATTTTGTATTTAATGGAAACAGAACCATCAGCTCCCACCCTAACATGGAAATTTGTGCCCATACACCTTCCTTCTGTCACTAAAAATGACCAGTCACCTGTAGTCCTTCTAGGTAAGACAATATCTCATTTCTCATGCCATTACTCAGTGCATTTGGTAAACTGTGATGAKGGACTCTTTGTATGAGAGATTTATAAAAATAATCTACCTAAGGCCCTGAAGAGCTCAGAGAAATTCATGTTTTGAAAACCTGGCTATCTGCTGGGAACTTCAGACTTCTACTAAAAGCAGAAGGATTTCAGCCTGGAAAAAAGCACATAAAAATTCTCAAAGATTTTCAATTTATTCCTATCAAAAAAAAGGCTCAAATTTAAGACTATTTTAGTTAAGCGGGGTTTGAAGTGTTTTTGTGTTTTTGCTGATATGCAGTGAGAGAAGCTGAGCACATATTTAGATTTTTCTTAAGTGTAGCACGCTCTCTTTTGCTTTGATTCACACTCTTTGGAACACTCCATGCTCAGCACAACATCAACTTCCTACATATCTGGTGAGTCACTTTTTCAGACATCCTTAAAAAGATTCATTAATTTGCAATTACTCAAGAAAAATCAATCCTAAGCATAAAACATTAATGTTGTTGTTGCACGAAAAACCCGCAAACGAAATGTGACATTGCACTGTTTTTCTACAGAAATTGAGCACAGAAAAGCCTGAAGACAGGTACTATTCTCTACCTTCAACATATACATTTTCAGGTCTGCTCATTATGTAAGAAAACGTTTTACAGACAAATGTAGCTTTAAATATCTTCTTTTCACAGCTGATCTTGAAGACTTAATCCTCATTTGTCGGTGGTAATGCTGGTGTTACACARGCATTAGCTCCTTCGGGCAGGTAGCTTTTGCCAGACACAGTTAAAACGTTTTGCACAGCAAACGTTCCCATCTCTCACAAGTATATTATCTTCAACACAGTCTATTTTTATGGGTTTCTTCAGCCAAGCCCACCTCGCCCTCATGGAATTTGCACACTCGCTCCCTAGCCAACATTCCCCAACACTCCCTCTCTCCACTCTACCCTCTCTGTAGATTGTGCCCATACACTTGTCTATGGACAGGCAGTAAACAGGATCACTCRCATGATTAACTAGGAAAACAAACAAGGACTTCCCCCYCAAAAAAGWWAAAAAAGCGCCTTACAGTATAACYGAAATACAGCTCAGGAGGCTGCACAGCACCCAGAGAGCCTGGGAACRTCAGAAAACAGCACTGCCAAAGTCCATAGACTGGGAAACCAGAGCCTTAAAACATCCAGGAATTCCACTCACTTATCTGAAGATTTCTCTCTGTTACTCTATTAACCTTTCAAGATCTTTTATTTTCCATAAAAATCAAAACCAATGCAGTTTTACATACATGTTTGAGAACCGCTTACAAATCCTGTGGCAAAGAATTTATGTGGGTTTAAGTATGGATCATTGATAGGACAACAATATATTCCCAGATTAGATGTGCTTATTTGATGTTCTGCAAACAATAATAATATACTTGCCTGCATGCAGATGTTCTTGGCCTAAGTGTACAGTCTTTTGTTTATACCTTGAAAACACTACAGACCTATAAAAATGTTTAATGATTCAAGAATAAGATTAAGACTTTATRTACACACCAATATACATTCTATCTATTCTATCTATTCTACATTCTATCTGTATTTTCCAAAAGCGTTTTGCATCCATCATCTCCAAGAACACATTTTCCTCTCTTCTCCAATTCTCACTTTCTCTTCTAACTTTTCTTTTCTACTCACAGATACTCCATCAGACCCCAAAACCTGATTAGATTGCCAAGAAACAGAGATAAACAGTCCACACTCCTCCAGATCACAACATCAGTATCTCGAAGCTTTTACTACAACATCTAACACAGAAAACTTACAGTAATGCTTACAAGACTCACAACATGGATCAACCAAACACCACTCTTCATTTGATAACTATAGCCACGGACCTTGACACAGATCTAAGCAATTTTCATAGACTTCCACCAACTTCTCACAGGACAATCTCAGAAGCTATTACATACCTCCATCTTATTTACTACCACCTACTTGCTAATTTAGATCACTCAGATAAAATAAATAGGTATATCCCTTGTTTGGTYTGTGTTAGAGAAGAAAGAAAGGGGAAAAAAAAAAAAGCTAACTTAAGAACATATCAACAAACATCTGGCTGCTTTTTAAACTCTTCTGTGAGTTAGCAAACTCGCTCAACACCAAAGGCTTTGTCAAATTAAACCACCTTTAATATGGCCAGGCTATTTATAGTCATAGCAGGGCACACAAAGGTCTTAGTCTTTATAAATCACAAGAAGTGCTGATAAAAAGCTACATGCATAACATGTTTCATATTTAAACCAGCATAATGAATCAGAACATGTTAAGTTTGTCAAGTGAAACAAAGGATTGCATGCTAATCTTCAAGTGCATATAGCTGTATTTCACACACACAAGTTCTCAAGTGTCTAAGATCAAGAATGCACATCATATACATTACAGAGGCCCCAAACAATGCTCTTAATGAGCACTTATACAAATAGTGGTTTGTACAATTAAACGCAGGTAACTTGAAAGTCATGCCACAGCCCAGCCTTGAGAAGTTAAATGTTTGTCTTGTCCCATCATGCCCAGGCGTTGCATAACGCAGGATAGTTAACATCAGAAGGTTTAASAACTTTGACTGCATTCTACTGTTCTTTATGCTGTGTCACCCTACTAAAAAAAACAGTGCACTGGTCACAGGCCGCATTACCATTAAAAATGAACAACTACACTGACCACATTTCATAGCAGGACATCCACACAAGGAAAAMAACGTATTTAGCTTACAGTAAATAAAGTTCTAGGACACAACATCAATATATTTAAAAGACAAAGGGTTGGGGACTGTAATGTGCACACTGTTCGTTTCTCAGTGGAAATTTAAAATTAACTTGACAGGCATTAAGTAAAATGATTTTACTTGTCCCAGTTCAATCCCTAGCGGACAAAACAGGAACTGCGGAGCCCCTAAATCTCCTCCATGAGATAGCGACCGTCTCTCAGAGCGCTGGGTTAAGGCAGCAGGGAGGGTATTTTAACACCATTGCACTGCCAGTGCTGAAGGATCTTGCACATTATTTGCTGCTTTCCTGCTGCCAAGAGGCAACTTCCTGCCAGACCCAAACAGCAGGTTACTTGTTCCACAATCTCCATGGGGCAACTAGGAAGACTGCAATGTCAAATCAGTGATTATTTAACTGGCTTTCTGACAGCACCTCACAACGAGATTTATTTAGACGCTCAAATCAAGCAGTAATTTTACAGCATTTGAAAAATACTATTACATGATTTCATTCACATTAGCCTAAGATTTAAGATTTGGTTTACTCACCCGAAAAATAACATGCTTCCAGCAAAGAACAAGAACACACATTTTTCAACATTTACCACCTTCTCTGTTATTTTATGTTTCTAAAATAATATTTAAAGCTTGGAACAAAATTATCAACTTACCTGCCAAAAATTAATCATTCCAACTATACAACAACTCTTGTTTCTTCCACACCCAACCATATTTACCAGAAAGAAACTAGCGATGTGCAAACTTGCCAGAAAGGTCCAGGTCATGATTTTTGATCGAGAAGAGAAGACATCTTACCTTGCTTGTCTTGTGGTCAAACCAGACCAGCGCGTGGTTCCTGGACAGCACCTTACAGTCAAAAGTTGCGTTGTTCTGGGCCGGGCGGCAGCGAGCCACCGAGCGGCCGATCTTGACGGGCTCGTCCAGGTAGACATGACGCTCCTGAAACGGGTGGGAGTTCGGGCGGCAAGTGAAGATGGCCAAAGCTGAAGGCATCGAGGACAGATTGGGCTTGCCACACCAAGCAGAGATGAAGAGAACCTCTTCTGATGCAGACTGTCCTCCACAAATTTTAACCCAAACCTCCACAGCAACTTTACGTTAAAGCAGGACAAACGTTACCGTATAGGAGAGGCCTAACAACTTATTGTTTCAGTGTGTAAACTAATTCTGGCAATAATCCAGTGACAAAGCCCCATTATGTCTTTTAATAACAGCAGTGGCCCAGAAAAAGTCTAAGCTGTACRACTCTCAATCCATCCTCCTCTGGAAGAACAGGAACGTGCATCTGAGGCCGTCAAAGAGAAGCGGAGGCTCCTTGGAAGAAGGAGAGGGTGTCTTAAATCCAACTAGATGAGTCATACAAATACTTTTGTTTGGGATCTGAACTGCCTTCTTTCTTACCCCCCTTCCGTAAACAAGACACTGAGCAGACTTCTGACCTATGCACATGTGAGCAGGGCCGGGCAGGGGCCGGGCCGCGGGGCGCGCGGATCAGGAGCTGCAGGGCGAGCGGGGGGCCCGCGCTCCCCTACAATCTCTAGCGGCTTCCCACGGCGAGCCGCGCTTCATCCTGGCGCCTCGCAGCGCGGCGGGGGACGCGGTCCTCGATCCGGGATGGGGCCGTGGGAGCTGCGCCGGGCGGGCGGGTGCGAGGGCAAGAGGGGGAGAAAGGGGGGAAAAAAGAAAAAAGGAAAAAAGAAAAGCCAAAGCGCAGCAGGGCTGGCCTAGGGCGGGAGGCCGCCGCTCCGGCTCAGATAAGCGAGGAGATAAGGCGCGAGGGGAGGGCGCCCAGCGGCGCGCGGGGCAGCGGCTCCAGCGTGCGGAGGGTCCGCGCGGCGCGGACAGGGCCGCGGGCAGCG